GTTGGTTTTAAAGATGTTCCTGATGAGTGATGAATAATCATCTCTACATTCATTTAAGCTTTACATAATGAATGATTTCTTTAGTATTTTCTTTTATACATTCTGTTCAAAATTTAAACAGATTTAAGCCAATTGAGAGTATATTGAGGTTAGTTTCTTAATGAATCTTAAAAATGTGCTTTGGTCAATTGGACATTTAAAAAAAATTACTTCAAAAAATTGTAATTAAAAAAACTAATCTTAAATTAATAACTTGGTTTTCTTATATAAAAATTGTAGAACTTATATTACGGATTAAATTTGTAATAAGCCAAAATACGTAGTAGAGAAACTAGGAGAATTTTATACTTTTTTCAGTATCATTTTGTGATCAAATTTGACTACTTCCATATATTTGCCTTCAACCATACTGCTGGTACTTAAGTTTCATATTACTGGGTACATAAATTGAAGGGTACATAAAGCTTAGATTATGTACACAAATTCCACATAAATTGGGTTCCTTAACAAAATACGAATCAAAGAAATATAGAAATATGCTCCATTGAATATGCTTTTCATGTTTAATTTTGATCACCAGAAAGACGACATCCAGTTGTTGGGTACAACAATTAAATAATAATGATATAAAGTTATAATGAGTCCAATTATTTTCTAACCAAAATAAAAACCTCTCAAAAAACAAATATACAAAAACCCCACTTTTAGGTTAACCGATTTTTCGAGTGATTTTTGACCGGCAGAGGGCAAGTTTTCTGAAAATAAAAACATTCGTAAATTTCTGCCATTTTTAGATCTTAGGTAAAGATTTGTTATCTTATATTTTTTCTGATTGGTTCTGTCGTTCTGGTGACGCGTGTGGGAAAATAAAAATGTGTTTCTCGGTTTTCTTAGGTTTCGACATACAAAGATATTACTAATTTAAGTATTTAACTAAATAATTATAAAAAAAACAATGAACTAAGTTATTATTGAGCTAATCAATAAAAGAGGACTGAAGAAATACCGGGACTATGAATGGTTGGATGTGAAAATTGAGGGAAGCGCCGATTGACTGAGCCGCTGAAGGTTGAGTGGCTGAGAGCAGGCGACTGAGCGACGGGAGTGATGTGAGTAGTTGACGACTGAAGAGGCGTACTGCGGTGCTGCTGATGTGCTGCGTGTTGGCGTCTGACGGAGGATGAAACCGCGAAGAGAATCGGCGACTTGGCGGAGCGTTCAACCCTTTGTGGATGATAGATGTCGATGGATCCGAAGGTAAAGAAACTAGCAGTCTGAGGGTAGCCTCCCGTTTGACCGATTTTCTCGGACCAAAGCAAGCAAGCAGGGCATGGGAGACACGAAGTATTGCAAAAGAAGGAACAAGGGGACAAGAATATTGGGCCTAGGTTTGGTACCTTTTTGTTCTTACTCAAAAATAGTTTATGAGTTATTTAAATTTTAACAAATGAAATCGGTTCAGTTCTTATATAAAAAATCAAGAACCGATATGGAACCGAACCAATACTAAACGGTTAGGTTCTTGCTTTTATCGGTTCCTAGAATAATTTTTTTCGTGTAAGAATTTCCACATAGTTTAGCTTCTACCACATGAAAACGTCAAAAAGTCAACAAGTCATAAACATTTATTTAGAGTTCTAATCGTTCCAAACATCAAAGCTCAGGCTTAAGTGAACACTTAATAGAATAAAAAGAAGATTTTACTTTTCATAAATCTTATGATATAAAAATCGTTGGTTATATCGTTAAAATGAAGGTTGCTCATCATTATAGTGGCAAGGATATGAGTACACTTTTTGCCTCTCAAAACCTAGAAATACATTGAGTTTGCATGTATAAATATAAAAGCATCACTACATTCTACTCCTATTGATGGAACAAAACTTGATTTGTAAAAATGAGCTTCATGTATTCAACCTCATGTGCAAATATTTATTATTTTTGTTTTCATAGATTAAATTAAATTAGAATTATTGGCTAAATATCATTCATTTATTATTATTATTATTGTTGTTGTTGTTGTGTTTATTTTTGTTATATTAGTATTACTACGAATACTGCTACTATTTTTTTTAATATCGGTTCCTTAACGGTTCCGTGCATATATTTTTTATAGGAACCGGGAACCGAACCGTTAACAACTAATACCTCATTTGTAGGAACCAAACCAGGTTATAACAGTTCGGTTCCAACCATTTTAACGGTTCCCGGTTCCAAAATCCCACCCCTAATTGGGCCTAATATTTTATTAATCATTTTTGGGGCTGCATCCCCATATCTACTGTTTCTAAAGATTGCTGGTGGATGTGAGTTCTAGAACCTATTTCTACTTCGGAGTTTGGGGGGGATCATGAACTGATGAAGAGTCATATCCGTAAAAAAATCAAGATTGCGAAATGAGGAAATGGTCAATTGAGTACATCAACTTGTACGAGGTGGAGTAAAGAGTACATTATATTGCATTTGATCTTTTTAAGTATACAAGTTCGGGATTTTAGTGTTAATTGAGTACATTTGTTGGATTAACATGTTAATACGGTTGAGTTGGCTAACGAATGTCGAGTAAGAAGGGGTAATGGACCGAGGTTATGCGAATTTTCGCTGAAAACGGTTTTTCTATCTTGTCGAGTAAGAAGGGGTAATTGGTATCTGAGCCGAGGCGTGAAACATGTTGAATCTATCTGCGAATTTTCTGATTTTACAAAGAAGTGCTCTGCTTTTCTTCTCGTTTTCTTTGATATAGATATTTGCTCCTGTTAGCTTGTTTGTGAACGAAAATTTGTAAAAGTTATACCGTTGGAATAGCCTCTGAAAAACGATCAAGCAGTATATCGTAGTTTTTGATTTTCACAATTTTTCAGTTTAGAAGATCTCAATACTCAGATCTCGAGATCAAGTTTTTTACAGGCTGTGTTTAGTATTTCGATCTGAAATTTTCACAGGAGGATCTCGTCATTCAGGTCTACGGGATACAACTTTCAGTTTTTGAAAAATCGACATTTTGAGATTTCGACATTTTAAGATCTCGAGGTTTTGATATTTCGACATCTTTATTGGTATTGAATCGGATCATCGTTTCTTCTGTACTCGTTATATTGTTTGTATGATTGTTGATTGATATTGGGACTAACATCTTGGGTATCATTTTTTAGACTTTAGTAAAATATGGAGCAGAAATTAAGACGTCTTTCGGATATTGAATATTTATTGTTTCAAAAATCAAAATTATTTACCTTGTTGGATTTGAGATTATAAGTTATATTGGTCATTCATAAAAATTAATTTCTTGCTTATTTAGTTGAGAAAAGTTATAGCATATGTGATTAAAATATGGACTTCTTATTAAAATTTTATTATATATGTTTTTAATTGGTTTGAAATGATATGATCTTATATGATCACCACACAAAAATTACGGGATTGACACGAAATGACCTGTGATTTCATGCCAAACTACTTGTGCCAAATTGTTTTTGACACGAATTTAACATATCCCTATCACATCCTCTCACATCATTCATAAAAAATGCATATTATTTCAAACTCATTGATTTATTTTAATATAGTTAGAAGTATATGAAACTTTACTGCACGCTTTAAATTATAAAAAAGATTTAAAATAAAGATTATAGTTTCATTCATACAATATTAAACATTGATTGTACACCAATAGTTTGAAATCTTATTTTAGTTCAACTCAAGTCGAAAATCTGAAATACACTATTCGTATTACACAATTTTAACTCGAATAAGAAAAAGGAACACTCAAATATATCATTTTCTTTCTCCGCGATTATTCTTATTTCTCGTCCACGCAATACCTCTTTCTTTACCAAACACACATATTCCACATTCTTGCATCACATAAATAAACCAACATCCATCTCTAAACGCGCACCGATCAACTAAACATTCCCGATTAATATAGCCCTTCCTTCCCGTGTTTCACTAATCGACTTATATTTCGTAATGAGGTAGAGTAAAGAGTACACTATAATGCATTTGATCTTTTTAAGTACATAAGTTCGAGTTTTTAATGTTAATTGAGTACACCCGTTAGATTAACACGTTAATACGACTGAGTTGGCTAACAGAATGCTAATAGATCGACTTTTTGAAGGTCGACGCTAGCCCCGGTCGCTTGATTGACTTCCCCTTGGTCGAAGTCAGTCCCCTGCAGGTCGACTTCTCCTTGTTCGATGCACCCTTGCTGGCCGACGCCCCCCGCAAGTCGACTTCCGAAGGTCGATTTTCCTTTTTTGTCGACTTCGTGAAGGTCGGCACCATAACCTCGGTCCATTACACCTTCTTACTCGACATTCGTTAGCCAACTCAACTGTATTAACATGTTAATCCAACAAATGTACTCAATTAACACTAAAATCCCGAACTTGTATACTTAAAAAGATCAAATGCAATATAATGTACTCTTTACTCTACATCGTACAAGTTGATGTACTCAATTGACCATTTCCTCATTTCGTAATCTTGATTTTTTTACGGATATGACTCTTCATCAGTTCATGATCTCCCCCCAAACTCCGAAGTAGAAATAGGTTCTAGAACTCACTTCCACCGGCAGTCTTTAGAAACAGTAGATATGGGGATGCAGCCCAAAAAATGATTAATAAAATATTAGGCCCAATTAGGGGTGGGATTTTGGAATCGGGAACCGTTAAAATGGTTGGAACCGAACTGTTATAACCCGGTTCGGTTCCTACAAATGAGGTATTAGTTGTTAACGGTTCGGTTCCTAGTTGTTAACGGTTCGGTTCCCGATTCCTTAAACTATGTGGAAATTCTTACACGGAAAAAATTATTCTAGGAACCGATAAAAGCAAGAACCTAAATGTTTAGTATTGGTTCGGTTCCATATCGGTTCTTGATTTTTTATATAGGAACTGAACCGGTTTCATTTGTTAAAATTTAAATAACGGTTCAACTATTTTTGAGTAAGAACCAAAAAGGTACCAAACCTAGGCCCAATTTCTTTTGCAATACTTCGTGTCTCCCATGCCCTGCTTGCTTGCTTTGGTCCGACAAAATCGGTCAAACGAGAGGCTACCCTCAGACTGCTAGTTTCTTTACCTTCGGATCCATCGACATCTATCATCCACAAACGGTTGAACGCTCCGCCAAGTCGCCGATTCTCTTCGCGGTTTCATCCTCCGTCAGACGCCAACACGCAGCACATCAGCAGCACCGCAGCACGCCTCTTCAGTCGTCAACTACTCACATCACTCCCGTCGCTCAGTCGCCTGCTCTCAGCCACTCAACCTTCAGCGGCTCAGTCAATCGGCGCTTCCCTCAATTTTCACATCCAACCATTCATAGTCCCGGTATTTCTTCAGTCCTCTTTTATTGATTAGCTCAATAATAACTTAGTTCATTGTTTTTTTTATAATTATTTAGTTAAATACTTAAATTAGTAATATCTTTGTATGTCGAAACCTAAGAAAACCGAGAAACACATTTTTATTTTCCCACACGCGTCACCAGAACGACAGAACCAATCAGAAAAAATATAATATAACAAATCTTTACCTAAGATCTCAAAATGGCAGAAATTTACGAATGTTTTTATTTTCAGAAAACTTGCCCTCTGCCGGTCAAAAATCACTCGAAAAATCGGTTAGCCTAAAAGTGGGTTTTTTGTATATTTGTTTTTTGAGAGGTTTTTATTTTGGTTAGAAAATAATTGGACTCATTATAACTTTATATCATTATTATTTAATTGTTGTACCCAACAACTGGATGTCGTCTTTCCGGTGATCAAAATTAAACATGAAAAGCGTATTCAATGGAGCATATTTCTATATTTCTTTGATTCGTATTTTGTTAAGGAACCCAATTTATGTGGAATTTGTGTACATAACCTAAGCTTTATGTACCCTTCAATTTATGTACCCAGTAATATGAAACTTAAGTACCAGCAGTATGGTTGAAGGCAAATATATGGAAGTAGTCAAATTTGATCACAAAATGATACTGAAAAAAGTATAAAATTCTCCTAGTTTCTCTACTACGTATTTTGGCTTATTACAAATTTAATCCGTAATATAAGTTCTACAATTTTTATATAAGAAAACCAAGTTATTAATTTAAGATTAGTTTTTTTAATTACAATTTTTTGAAGTAATTTTTTTTAAATGTCCAATTGACCAAAGCACATTTTTAAGATTCATTAAGAAACTAACCTCAATATACTCTCAATTGGCTTAAATCTGTTTAAATTTTGAACAGAATGTATAAAAGAAAATACTAAAGAAATCATTCATTATGTAAAGCTTAAATGAATGTAGAGATGATTATTCATCACTCATCAGGAACATCTTTAAAACCAACGACATATGTGAGGCTTATAGAGTTATATTGGTCATCTTTAGCTTTTAGATAATGCTTCTTATGAAATTCAAAAAGTCAAGGTTTATTATGTAGCCTTTAATTGAAATGCATCCACAGTATTTATTCATCGAAAGCTACATTGGAAGAGTTTCTAATTGAAGAATTCAACATTGAGAACATGTTAGGAGTCTAGAAGAATACTTCAAAATGGCCTCCAAGCCTCACTCCATATGTAATTGCATTAATTCTTGAACCTTGAGAAGACAATTAATTAGTTTAAATTGTTTACACTCTGTCTGCATGTACTTCGAGAAGCACAACCTAGGGGAGAAAAATACCATAGTATATACTCCGTATAACAAAGAATACAAAAATTAATTACTAATGCTATGGAAAACGATGTACACATCTCGGTGAATCCTAAAGGCTAATGCAATTAAATGCTTCGAGAAGCTCAAGACACAATATTTAAATCTAGCAGTCTTTTTATTCATCCAAGACCTAGATAAATGGAAAGACATCATTGCAACCGAACATTTTCTCTTTCTTCCTTTATGTCACTCGGTATTTTATATGTAGGTGCATCCATAGTATTAAAGAGTTCTAGAACAATTGAAATACAATAATCCTTAATTAAGTGATTAATTGTTTGGCGTGAAAACTGCTGCCATGCAACGGTGCAACTTCCTTATTTTCTATGTACGTTTTTTCCCGCCCAACACCCCTTGTCCTCCCTCCTTGGGACTTTTGTGTTTTACTATATTATATAGATATGTTTCCTGTTTTTCCTTATCTCTATGAAAATCGTTAGATTAAAAGATTTTTTATTTATTCGTTTTTAATTGTTACAAGCAACAATTTTCGGTTACCATCAGTGTGCTGACCTTTACTGTGTTTGACTTCAACTCGATACTCAAACAGATTGTTATTCCTTAACATTCCGTTATTACTTTACACACGTGAACTAACTATCTCTTATTATTATTAAAACTGATTTGCCTGCAATTAAGAGCAATAGTAACTAACTAATACGTAGTTAAAATCAAAACAATATCGAACCCCCTAAATGTAATGTTTTTCGATCCTCATCTCACTCAAACAAATATATGCTAGTTGTTAAATTTTTCATCACCCTAAATCAAGCAGACTGTTGTTCTTTACATCCTATTCTCACTGTAAATGAATTTCAACTAAATTAACTGTTTTACCGTAAGTCCATAACTATTGATAAAAAAAGATAGATACTATGAGGCCGTTTGGTAGCACTGTTTGTCGGCTTATCAGGCTTATTAGCTCACTTTTTCAGCAAACACGTAACTTTTGTTTTCGCGCGCTGAATTGTGTAATAAACAGAAAAAGTAAGGTTGAAGTTAATTTCCTGGCTGTATTTGTTGAAGTTACTGTAGATACCATTTTAGCTATTTTTACATATAAATTTTTTTTACTTTATAAATAAAAAATATTTTAAAAATATTTTTTTCTTAAATCACCAGAATCAGCCAATGCAGTCACTTCAGCCAGAACTTCATAAATTTCAGCAGAATAAGCCAAATCAGCCGATTTTCATGCTACCAAACGGGCTCTATATACTGACTATCTTTTTTCTATAATTAAGGAGCAATCCTATCTAACTAATTTAACTCACCATGACACTTGATAAATGTGAAGACTAAAATGCCTAATTGAAACGGTGATTAGTTCTGGTCACTGTCTTATTGGTTTTAGCGAACGAGTTATTTGAAACTGCTGCAAATGTCATTGATCGCTTCAACCAAGATAATAATTTACAGATGCAATTGTAAAATGCTATGGGTATAATGTTTTTTATCAATTAGTCTACCCTATAAGCTTCATTCCACCAGTTTGCATGGTCTTAATTTATAAAAGATTAAGGGCACGTTTGGCACAACTAGTTGAAATAATATTTTGATGAGCTTTTTAGTAACTATTATCTTTTAATGACCGAAAAGATATTAAAAGGAAAAGGTAGGTAGTTGTTTGATAAAAATTTGGCTGTTTGATTTAGTTCTGTTTGGTATACAAGCTGTTAGAATTAATTAATGCTGAAATTTATATAGACTTTTATGAGATGTTACTCACTGTAGCATCTCAAAAAATACCCTTTATTTTTAAAAAAGCTCTTATAACAGGGCATGCCAAACATACAACTAAAAACTTTTAAAGATTTTTTAAATAGTATAGAAGCTAAAGGTAGTGACTTATGCTTACCAAACATGCTCTAAGAGTAAATTTAAATCCTCAAGTCTTCTTTTGTTGCATTGGTAAGGTATCCCGTGAGATCCCATAGCTGTTAATGAGATTTTCTTGATTCAGCAAGTCACTTAAGTATGAGATATTGTTGTGGAATTCTTGACAAAATCACTCAAGTGAATCAATATATGAAATTGCAAGTCATACTTGTGGTGATTCAGGGGTGACAGAATTTTATTTTTGTAGATATATAAATATATAATACTCCGTAATACTCCAAATTAAATCTATACATCCCTGATTGTCCTACAACTTAGTCATGAGGATAGTCGGATTAACGGGAGGAATTGCTTCTGGGAAGAGCACCGTCTCCAATCTTTTCAAGTCCCACGGTATTCCTGTAGTCGATGCCGACATCGTTGCCCGTAATGTCTTGAAGAAAGGCACTGGTGGATGGAAAAGAGTTGTGGCTATGTTTGGGGAGGACATCTTACAGGACAATGGCGAGGTAGATCGCGGCAAGCTAGGTCAAATTGTATTTTCTGATCCCGCAAAGCGTCAGCTTCTTAATAGGCTTTTAGCACCTTATATTTCATCTGGTATCTTTCTGGAAGTCTTGAAGTTGTGGATCAAGGGTTGCATGATAATTGTTCTTGATGTGCCCCTTTTATTTGAAGCTAAGATGGATAAATGGACTAAGCCTATAGTTTTCGTTTGGGTTGATCCTGAGACACAACTTCAGCGGCTCATGACAAGGGACCGGTCAACAGAGGAAGAAGCCAAAAGCAGGATAAATTCTCAGATGTCTCTGGATATGAAGAGGGAAAAGGCAGATATTATTATTGACAATAGAGGGACACTAGGGGCTTTAAATGAGCAGTTTGGATTGGTGCTAATCCAGATCACAAAGCCACTGACTTGGTCTGAATATGCCCTTTCTAGGCAAGGAGCTATTCTTGGATTGCTTTCAATTTTTGTTGGTATTGTAATATCCAAGAACAGTTTATGGATGTAATTATTGTAATAGGCATTTTACATCACATTTCTTGCTTGTAGCATTTTATGAAAAAGTCGTTCCTTTTTTAGTTAATTTTTTTTTGTCAAATTGTAATCTATCTTTTAAACTTTTAGTTGAAACAGATCTCATCATTCAGTTCGCTACCATATAATAATAGATATAATAAATTTAAAAGCATTTCGGTTCTCATGTGTATTTCTTTTCAGCGTGCTTCAATTTACAGAGATTGTATATTGTCTACACTGACTGCTTTAAAGGTATTCCGTGATAATAACCAATTCATCAAGGATGGGGGGTGCCGTGCTTATTGCCCTTGTTGCTGCCATTGGTAACCTATTGCAAGGATGGGACAATGCAACAATAGCAGGTCTATTTGACACTTCCATATATGATGCATTGATATTATTTGATACTTTTATATATATGGTTGGTATTGTGTCAAAAATATTTCCTAAAGAACTTATATGTGTTGACTCCAGAGTTTTTTTACTACATCATGAAAGAAGATTTTTCGGCATGTTTATTGAGACTTAAGTTTCATGCTATTTAGAGGTCTTGTATGTTGCTTTGTATGTTTATAATATCTGATGATGGATGGCTTAAAACATTTCAGGATCAGTGCTTTACATAAAAAGGGAATTCAATTTGGAAACACAACCAACTATAGAAGGGTTAATTGTGGCGATGTCATTAATCGGAGCAACCTTTATCACAACATTCTCTGGGCCTGTTTCTGATTCACTGGGAAGGCGTCCAATGCTCATAATCTCATCTGTCCTCTATTTCCTCAGTGGTTTGGTGATGCTGTGGGCCCCAAATGTTTATGTGTTGCTTTTGGCAAGGCTGTTGGATGGGTTTGGAGTTGGTCTTGCCGTAACTCTTGTTCCTGTATATATATCTGAAACAGCTCCTCCAGATATCAGAGGATTTTTGAATACTTTCCCCCAGTTCACTGGCAGTGTTGGAATGTTTTTGTCATATTGCATGGTTTTTGGGATGTCACTGAAAGATTTGCCGAGTTGGAGGCTAATGCTTGGAGTTCTTTCAATTCCTTCTCTTCTTTACTTCCTTTTGACAATTCTTTACTTGCCTGAGTCGCCCAGGTGGCTTGTCAGTAAAGGAAAGATGAAAGAAGCTAAGAAAGTTCTGCAGAAATTGCGTGGAAGGGAAGATGTATCAGGTTAGTGTTCATTTTTTTTGCTTACGCCTACCAGTGACTAAATAAAAATTTCTGCATTCAATAGTACGTGTTTGTGCTCCTGCTATTTGTTTTTATGACCACATAAACCGACTCCTAAATGCTCCGTATGAGATAAGTTTTGTTCAAAATGAATCAAGTTATCTAATGGGGTAAGTAGGTAACGCACCTCGTCTAAAAGCTTATGTGAGGTCAATAATCCATCTAGACTCGAAATTTATTATATCTAAACAATGTATACTTTATCATGAAATTTCACCAAGATTTCAAATCCAAAGTTACGACATCCAAAGCCTTAGTCCCACAAAAATTGGGGTCAAATCTAAACTTAGAATAATGATATTTATTTTATGAGATTTGAGATTTGAGATTGATTCTTCCTCTAGATGGATTATTGACCTCACATATAGATATACGCTGAGGGTTCAATTGTTGGATCTCCTTCAACTCCCCATCGTTGAACTATTGGAAACTGTTGGGTTCCTACTTTCACTGAAACATTAAGAAATTCTATCAGTGAAAATTAAGGTGATTGCAGTTCATCATATAGTTGTATACTTGTATTACCAAAAGTGTTTCTCTGTAATACCTGATTCTGTTCATCAATTATACTACCCCCGTCCCATAAAATAGTACCCATTTTGATTTGGATCGGAGTTTAAGAAAGTGGGAATAAAGTGAAAATGTATGGGGTTGGTTGAGTAAGAAAAAGGTAAATAAATGTCAACCACACAAAACTTTCCAAAAAGGTAAATGAGAACTATTTTTTGGGACGGCCCAAAAAGGAAAGTGGGAACTATTTTATGGGACGGAGGGAGTATACAATTATTCTATGTGACCCTTAACTTTGTTTTTGTACTTGATTTGATCCTAAATTCCTAATGAACCAATTTTGTCCTCCGATGTATTTGACTCTAATTATGGAGGGTATTTCTGTCTACAAAAGACTAAATTTGGCTCAAACTAGCTGGTGGATATCAATCTGAGTCCCAAATTATTCCTAGGTATAGTAACTTGATGAAAAACCCAGTTTTGAAGAGCTAAACATGTATGAAGGTGGTCTAAATTGCATAGTTGAGGACTAAGTTTAGAATCAAATATGCAGGACGACAAACATAGATCCAATTTGTATAGTCGATGGCCAAAATTAATGTAGCGAGTTTGTTTGTTTGTCAATCTTAAATTGAGCCTCCATTAGTAATGGACCATTACTAAAATGGCCCCCTTTTTTCAATATGCAGGAGAAATGGCCTTGCTGATGGAAGGTTTAGATGTTGGAGGTGATATATCGATAGAGGAGTACATAATTGGACCAGATAATGATCTTGCTGATACCCAAGAGCATGCTTCAGACAACAAGAATCAGGAGACTATTAAGTTATATGGTGCTGAAGAGGGCCTTTCATGGGTAGCTAAACCAGTCACTGGTCAAAGTACTCTTGGTCTGGTTTCCCGACGTGGAAGTATGGCGGCTGCTGCTGCTCAAGGCTCTTTTGTGGACCCCATGGTCACTCTCTTCGGCAGCGTACATGAGAAACTTCAAGAGCCCACCGGAAGCATGCGAAGCATGCTCTTTTCCAACTTCGGCAGCATGTTCAATGTGGCCGAGAATAAGAATGAACAATGGGATGAGGAGAATGCAGGGGAGGAGAATCACATATCTGACAATGATTCTGGCCACGAATCGGATGACAACAATCTAAGGAGCCCATTGCTCTCACGTCAAGGCACAAATGCCGGAAAGGATATGGAAACCAGACAAGGAAGTACTCTCATCATGCAAGGAAGCGAGGAAGTAAGCGGCATTGGTATTGGTGGGGGTTGGCAGTTGGCCTATAAAAAAGACGATAGGAAGGAAGGAGCACTGAAAAGAATCTATTTGCATCAAGAAGGTGGTCCTGGATCACGACGTGGGTCTATCATCTCCCTTCCTGGTTGTGATAACTCTGCAGAAGGTGAATTTATTCAAGCTGCTGCTCTTGTGAGTCGGTCTATTCTTGGGACAGAAGACATTATGGGCCAAAAACCTATTGAAGAAGCCATGGAGACAAAATCCAAGATTGCAAATAAAGGATCAGCCTGGAATGATCTGTTTGAACCAGGGGTCAAGCATGCACTTATTGTCGGAGTTGGGCTTCAAATACTTCAACAGGTACACACTCAATACAAAATAGTGTAGTACCGATAAAAGCATTTCTTGTTGGAGGATGTTAATATGGAAAACATGCTATTATGGTTAATTAATGCTTTACCTTTACCTTATGCTTCCATGACTGAACATATTAATATTGCGCTGATTAAATTCAATATGAGTATTTTACATTTTCAAGCTCAAGTCTAATTGTCTTCTATTTTGTGTGTGGGGAAGGCTAGAGTGGAATTTTGTCTTTCCATGGAAAGTTAGATAGGATCTAGTACGTTATCAGTTCTTCATCAAAACATGCGGGCGCAGAATCGTTATTATGGAGAACTTTAATGTGCAATAGTTAATTATACAAAGTGTTATAAGAGAGTGCAGTTCAATGCAGTTATGAGGGGAAGGCTAGAGTGGAATTTAGTCTTCCCGTGAAAAGTTAGATAGGATCTAGTACGTTATCATTTCTTCAACAAAACATGTGGGCGCATAATCGTTATTATAGAGAACTTTAATGTGCAATAGTTAATTATACAAAGTGTTATAAGAGAGTGCAGTTCAATGCAGTTATGAAACTGGAGTTGCACTTTTTCAGCAGACATGGGTGCACTTTTGTGATATATTAGTGCATTTTTTGCATACAAACATGTACTTTTTCTTTTCACAACTTTATTAAAAGTTTTATACATTCCTTTCAAAAAAAAAGTTTTACACATTGACAATTGTGCCGCCATGTTTGTGGCCTTTTAAAAATTTATCTCATCCTTCCATTTTTTGAAATCAGTGGACAGTTGTTCTCATTTTTCAATTAAGCAGTACTTCTTTTCTGAATGAGTGTGTGTGAGTAAAGTATGTATTTAGGGTTCGGTTCAAGTGAAATCATATAGTTATATGAAAAATTGAATTCATCCCGTGCATTTTATTTTGTGAATTGAAAGGATCGTACAAATTGGGTGCACCGAGTGAGGTAGACTGGATGGAATCAAAACGTAACCAAATGAATACTAAATGCCTATTAAGTTTAATCCATCTAATCTAACCTGTAATTGCATTAGTATGAATGGCTAAATGAGATATCATGTTTCATGGAAACGATTTTTTATTGGAATCAAAATCCATATATATTTATATGAAACATGGTTACATGTATAGCTAAATTTTATGTTTATTCTTGTCACTGCCAGTTTTCTGGGATTAATGGAGTTCTCTACTATACTCCTCAAATACTTAAACAAGCTGGAGTAGGACTTCTGCTTTCAAAGTTAGGGCTGGGATCAGATTCAGCATCTATCCTCATAAGTGCTGCCACAACTTTGTTGATGCTTCCCGCAATAGGTATTGCAATGAGACTGATGGATATAGCAGGCAGGAGGTAAGGTTTCTATTTTATTGACCAAATATGTCCTCGATCAAATATTTTCTTTAAATGACTAATACTTCACTAAATTATTATGTATTCTATTTTGCAGGTGGCTTTTGCTCTATACATTGCCAGTCCTGCTAGCTTCACTTGTCACTCTAGTCCTGGGGAATATAATCCATATGTCTCAAGTAATCAATGCGGTCATTTCCACGATTAGTGTTGTGATCTATCTATGCTGTTTTGTCATGGGCTTTGGCCCAATCCCCAACATCCTTTGCGCTGAGATATTTCCAACACGTGTCCGTGGCCAATGCATTGCTATATGTGCTCTCACATTTTGGATTGGAGATATCATTGTCACTTACTCCCTCCCTTTAATGCTCTCTTCCATCGGTCTCCGTGGAGTCTTTGGCATCTACACCATTGTGTGCGCTATTGCTTGGGTTTTTGTTTTCTTGAAAGTTCCAGAAACAAAGGGAATGCCGCTTGAAGTGATCACGGAGTTCTTTGTAGTTGGCGCAAAGCAAGCTAGTGAATAAAATGCTGCACATTTGCAGTGGAACTTCTTTAATAAGAGGAAGTCACTTGTTCAGAGAAAGATCAGAGGCATATCTGATTGACAATTTTGGAAGTTACAAGGATAGCCGAAAAAATCAGGGAAGGAGCATATAGTTATTTATTCATTCTTTGTTTTTTGATTCTTTTATTTATATGCGACATACAACATTTTATAAATACTCGTGCTTCTCACAATTTATCCAGTTTAGCTTTATAATAATTCAAATGTTAATTTAACAGGCCTGTCTTTTGATACAACCTACTAATGGGCAATGGGAATATATAGCCCACAATCATAATACAATCAAAATGGACCACTGATTAGTCAATTTTAGTCAAAAGCTCATTTTGTAAATTTGTTATTCGTACTTCGCGAGGAGCTGGATGAGAAGAAACTCTCAAGTAGAGATAGAATAATAAAAATACATCAACTCAGTTTGGTTTGACAGACAGTGGAAGGGCCGCCGAAGGGGTCAGGGGTGCGATAAAAAATCACGTCTTTTCAAAAATGGAAACTAATAATCATTTCATCAAGGATCACGTGGAGAAAGGAGACATTGATATGTACTTTGTAAGCTCAGAGCTTCAACTGCCCGACTTGTTTACTAAGGCATTGGATGAAAAAAGATTCCAGTTCCTGGTTTTCAAGTTGGGCATGTTGAACCTCGAGCCAGTTTAATTTTTGTCTCCACTGGTTTGAAAAGTGTGTGTGTGTGGGACTTGTAAAAAGCGTGTGTGAGTGTGATCTGTAAATAGTGTGTGTGCGTTGCATGTGTTGAGGGGGAGAAAATCCGAAAAAGAACAAAACATAGTGTGCGTGTGTTACATGTGTTGAGGGGAGAAAATTTGAAAAAGAAGAAAAATAGTGTGTGCGTTGCATTTGTACATATTGTTAGTTGCATTCTGTTTGGGGGGGGGGGGGGGGGGGGGGGAGAGTCAAATTTTTATTGTTTGAGGGGGAGCTCTAATTTTTACTGGGATTGGGCTTCAAAAATCAATTTAAAAAGGCATTTTGTGCTAGCCCATTCATTCGGGCTCATTTAATACGGAAAAGGACCCAAATATTTTCGTTGTTATAAACCCTTCGAAAACCTTCATCTTCCAATTCTAAAATCTTTTCGCAAACCGGAAGCACGGATTTTTTTCGCAAACTCAGAGCTCCTCCCGACATCTCTTCTTCTACCACTTCTCTTTTCGACTCTCCCTTCGAAGGTAGTTCACTGATCATCTTCATCTTCCCCATCAACGTCGTTCGAAGCCGAAATCAAAACAAAACCTTTTTCTCGAAAACGTTCGTAAAAACTCAATCCGACTGAACAAAGTTTCTCTTCGACTAATTTGGAGGTCGAAATCGTTTTTCTATCGTTTTTTCGTTTATTATGTTTTTGAATTTGCAAGTGGAATCGTCATTTCGAGATTTTTGATCTCGACATTTAGTTCTCCAGATCTCGAGTTCGTCGATTCATCTTCGAGAGAGATCTCGAGATTTGAATCTCGATATCTTGATCTCGAGATTTGAATCTCGAAATCAAGATCTCGAGATTTGAATCTCGAAATCAAGATCTCGAGATTTGAATCTCGAAATCAAGATCTCGAGATTTGAATCTCGACATCAAGATCTCGAGATTTGAATCTCGACATCAAGATCTCGAGATTTGAATCTCGAAATCAAGATCTCGAGATTTGAATCTCGAAATCTTGATCTCGAGATTTCGATCTCGAGATTTGGATCTCGAGATTTGGATCTCAAGATTTGGACTTGCAATGTTTTTCAAAAATCCACCTGCACATATTGTCTGAAACCTGCAAACACCAAAATTCTTTCAATCTAATCTCAGAGCAATCAAACCAATGAATTATTATGCTGACCCCCTGCGTTTACAGTTCATAATGGCAGGAACACCTCAAACACAGATTTACGACGCCATCTACCCTAAGGGCAAGTGGATCAAGGTGTTGGACAACAACTTCCAGCTAGACCTCACCGTCTTCAAGTGCGAGAACCCAATCATTCCAGCCATAATGAAAGGTCACTATCTCTGGCCTGCACTTCACAACGCCAAACCAGTGCCAGAGATATACCTACAACAATTTTGGGTCCACATGCATACTGAATCAGCAAAGGATCGCACCAAAATAAAGACAAAACTAAATGGCATGCGCATAATACTGACACCATCTACACTGCGATCTACACTAGCGCTACCAGTTCACGACACGTATGATGCGCTGCCATCCATTCCTGATCTCCTCAAAGACGTGGCAGCTCTCGGCTACACCTCACTTCTGCCACAACTATCAAATTTCAACGGAGCCTATCTCCATCACCCGTGGAAGAGCCTATTCGGGCTGGTGAATAAATGCATGTCGCCAAAGCATGCCGGGTTTGACAAGTGCAACAAGCAGATCCTACTAATTTTTCACGGCATTGCATACAACAAAAATTATGACGTGGCACAGCTCTTCTTCTCAGAGCTCATGGACCTGGTCAAAGCAAAGGAGAAAAACAGGCCAGGTATCATCCCATACGCGAGGTGGCTAGGGCTGATTATCAATGAGTGCATGGCAGAGCACATCTCCATTCCCAGACGCAGCGCAGATCCACACTACACCGCCCCAAAGCTGCAGTACTTCAAAGACGACAAAAATCCTGTCATCGGTCTGTGGATTCATGGTTTTCTGCTCCAACTCGTCAATCCATCCAATCCGGCAGTCCAACAGTACCGAGAGAACATTGAGAGAACTGTCCCTATGGTTCAACAAAACCCAGCTGGACCTACCCCAGGGACAAAGCCGAGTGCAAGTAAGGGTCCTAAGAAAGTCCAGAAGCCACAGATACCAGTGGCCGGTTTGCCCCATGAAGGAAAGTCTGACGACTCTTTAGAGACGAGTCAGACGGCTGAGGGCACCGAAACAGACGCTGAGGAAACTGCCGATGAGTCGTCCAGTGATGCCCAAACTAACACTGACGATGAGGCATCCGAGAGCGTGGGAACGGATGGCGAGGAGTCTGACTCTGATGGTGATGATAATGACAGCGATGACGTTGAGCACACCTATGCTCTAATCAGAAAAGGAAAGCTGCCTGTCGAATCTCCAAAGAAGATCACTGCTGAAGACGCAGCACCAATAATCGCAGGCAGACCCAAGGTCTTCACCATCAAAGAGCTGCAAAAATCGAAGAGCGTTCACAGAGAAACAAACAGCTCTTAGGTTTCTATACAAGCAGAGCGTTCACAGTCGATTGATAGTCCCTGTTTCTATACCAGCAATGAATAGCAGTATAACAAAGAAGATTAACTGAATAGATGAACACAGATGAATCGATGTAAACCCTTCTTGATATACCGTGAACTCGTACACAGAATGATTTGCGCTAAGGCTATTATGAATAAGTACGAAAGTTAACATAATCCTGAATCCTCGGCTCCCTTTTTATAGGCGAGGTTCAGGTAGGCGTGTAAGGCTTTTAGCCTGTTGTATGGGCCTAACACTTGGCCCATATTCAATCTAATAAATGCACATATTAAATACAAGGAGTAATAATAAGGCTAATCTATTACAAGAGAGGTGACAAACTTGATTCACAATTAAATGATCTTCAACACAAGAAAAAATAATAGTAATGAAAAAGAGTAGAAGAAAATGTTACGGTTTAATCTGAGGATATTTTTAGCTTATAAATTGAAGTTTACGAAAAGGAGATGAAACTGAAATCGGAATGAAGACGTTTCTCAAATGATATGGTATTATGTGGTCTAATTTCTAAGTAAGTCCATCTCTATGAATATATTTTCCAGTGATAGGGTAATGCATTTTTTTATTACATTTATTCAAATTTCAATCCATCTTTTCAAGCTACTCAGGTTTTTAAATGGTTTGCATGGTTCACAAAAGAAAGCCAGAAGTAGAGAATATTTGGATTTTTAAAATCCTCACATTGATTCATACTTACATCCGGTAATTGTAATTTATACTTTCCCCGTTCTTTTCTAAATGCAACATTGGATTTTTTTTCACTATTCACATGTTTTACTTTGACTCTACTTTATTATTTAATTTATTACATATTGAATTTAAAAAATATATTCTTAAATTGCTCTCATTTTAATGTTTCAAAATATATATTTTTAATTTTTTTACTAATAAGGTATAAAAGAAATTAATGGTTAAACTTGTGTGTTGGCAAATATGAAAAGTGGACCGTTGCATTTAAAAAAGAATGAATGAAGTACTACATATTTATCAAAATATTGATATACACTTATATTAGCTAGGTTGTTTATTTTTTTCATGTTAAGTAATTAATTTTGCATGCAATAATTTAAAATATCATCTTTTTTTAACGATGGTATTTGTTAAAACCTGGGGTTCCATCATAAAAGGTCAACTTGATAGGAGGAGTAACTCATATCTTAATAGCACTTTGTTGATTCAAACTTTTCCGGTGTGGGATTCTAACACCCCTCCTCACAACGAGACACTTCGTCTGGATCGTGTCGTCAATCATTTTTTCGTCAGTTCGTCATTGTAATTTTTTAATCGTGTTGTCATTTTTTCATAAGGCGACCCACACCATGGTTATGGATCAGTTTGGCTCTGATACCATATTAACACTTGGGGTTCCATCCTAAAAGGTCAACCTGATAACAGAAGTAGCTCAGAGCCTTATATAGTGGTTTATTGTTTTATAGCTTTCCGGTGTGGGACAAATACTCTAACACGCCCCCTCAACCCAAACCGGTCTGGATAATATCGGGGTGTATAAATGGGCCAAACAGACCCTTAACAAACTACCCGTAATCATGAGTGCTAAACAAGCTCTCAAATCACAACCGGAATTGGCTCTGATACCATGTTAAGACCCGGGGTTCCATCCTAAAAGGTCAACCTGATAGGAGGAGTAACTCATGTCTTAATATAGCACTTTGTTGATTCAAACTTTTCCGGCGTGGGATTCTAATAGTATTATTTATTATTTTCTCTTTATTATTTTAAAATATCATTTTTTATATATTCATGTGCATCGCATGAGTAATATTCCCGTGGCGATAGTAAATCGAAAGAATTGATCAGAAAGTGGCAGGTTGGTTGATTTATACGTCGGGTTATTTGTTGGGCCATAGAGTGGGTCAAAATGGACGGAACAGAATTATGTACAATCCCAAAAGTACTCCTCTATTTTTTCGGTTTATTAGGCTTCCGGCGACTTTTTAATCAAACACGTATTTTTTTATTTCGCGCGGTGAATTATGTAATAATAAGAAAAAGTAAGGTTTAAATTACTTTTCTGACTGTATTGAGTGAAGTTACTA